TTAATGCCAGCGTGAACATGCATTGAACCTTGAGTATTATCATTTTGTAATAAAATACGGTAAAGACCGTCAGACAAAATATCATTCCCAACACAATCAGATTTATATAATAAACGAAATGATGTGTCTTTAAAATTAAAGGAATATCCAAATGGTACGAGTCTCGAAACAGAAATTAAGTTTCATGAGAAACTTGGTACATAAAAGGTTCTTTCCAATTTTAAAACAAAACCACTACTTAAAGTTAAAATGCATGTTCCAATTGCTTCCACATGTGAGCCCATCTTATTTCCTGATAAGATGCTTTGCTCACTTCCCACTGGCTTCCTTAGGTTTTGTATACCCTGCAAAGAGTTTGCAATATGGATTGTTGATCCAGAGTCAATCCACCAAGTGTTAATATTAACATTGACCATATTAGATTCATAACATACATATGAGGTTGGTTTACCTTTCTTTTCAAGCCATTGTTAGAATTTCGTACATTCCTTCTTCATGTGTCCCTTTCTTTTACAAAAGAAACACCTTGCTTCTTTTTTGATATCAGCTTGGGGTGGTATTTTACCTTTTCCCTGCTGATAAGCTTTTTGATTGGCTTGATGTTTGTCAGTTTTGTTCTTCCCTCAAGTGGTTACCATCAATGCACTCTCACCCAATTCCATTACTAGCCTCTCTTCTTCTTGAACACACATGGTCATTAATTCATTAATTGACCATTTGTCCTTATGTGTATTGTATGAAATTTTAAAAGGGTTATATTGAGGTGGAAGGGTGTTCAGAATATAGTGCACCAGGAAGGATTCTGACATATTAACCTCAAGTTTCTTAAGTTGAGTCGTAATATCTCGCATTTGCATTATGTGCTCACGCACACCCTTTATGTTGGTGAGTCTAAGGGATGAGAATTTCATTATAAGGGTGCTTGCTAGTGCCTTATCCGAAGTGATGAATTGTTCATCGATAGCCTTTAGCAAGTCTCGGACATTTTCATGCTGGTTAACAGAACTACGTATGCCAGCAGTTATCTTAGTTTTGATAAACATCACGCTGAGCCGATTGGATCGCTCCCATCGCTCATATAACGCGATCTCAGTTAGAGTGCTGGTATCAGTGACTATAGGTGGTTCGTCTTTTCTAATAGCATAATCAATATCCATCCACCCTAAATGGAGGAGAACCCTCTCCTTCCATATCTTATAGTTATCACCACTAAGTTCGGGAATATCACATCGAATGTCAGAGAAATTAACAGTTCGAAAAACTGCATAAAAACAAACATGCTTATGTCAAAATTTGAAGCTTAATAGACTAAATTACATGTTTTACCAATGTGAAACATGCCAAAAATATGAATCTCATGACATAAAAATTGCCTGTGGGCTAAATTCTTAATTCAAATAGATTCATATGGTCTTTATGATAAAACTATCAAATTATATTCCAAATCATAATCCCTGTGGGTAAATTATGAAAATAATCTGATATTTTATCCTGATTAATTATATTAAATATAATAAAAGATCCTGTGGGATAACAATTATTATACGAAATATAATCAATCACAATATGATGTCTAATTACTTATGTGATCCTTATTTTAACTTTATATATAATTTTAATTAATTAAGGATGTTGTGGCTAATTCTTAATTAATTAAGATTATATGGATCACTAGACATTTTAAACATAAAAAATTTGCTCATAAACATAATTTAATATAACTAAATATGCATACATAATATGAGCATTTTACAGACTAAAAATGTTGAAAATGATATTTCCTCATGATTTTCAACAAAATATATCAACAAGTTTCCAAGAAAAAACCAAAATCAAATCATTTTTATGGCATAAAAATGAAAACTTTTTCATATCAAGGCAGAGGTCATTCGGCTCTGATACCAAATGTAAGAAATTTTAATGAAGCCAACTTGTGTTTCTAAATCATTATAATAGAAACACAATAAAAACTGATGCGGAAATTAAATAGCGTACCTCCAGCCATTGTCGCCAAGAATTTCTACAGAGGTTTCTTCTTGAACTTTGGTTCTTCTCGGCTCAGAACTCTCGCTTTAGATGGTGTAGGAAAGCCTTTCGCTTCAAAGAGATGATTGAGCCAAGGGACCAAAATCCTCATGTATATATAGATGTTCTCCCATCAAGAACATTTATCATCACCAACTCATAACGTTCAAGAATTAATTCAAATTTATAATGTTTGGACCATAATGAAGAACTTAATGATATTAAATATTTAATTTAATAATAACAGTTTCATGCATAAAGAATAAGAAACTAAAATCATTTAAACCATAATAAATGAAGAAATTCATGATAATGAATTATGAATCTTAATAAGAACGGTTACGTTATTATTAAATAAGATATTTAATAATAACCGTTACATATGGAACATACTTCAACCATGGACTAGGACAACCAAGGGGTAAATGTCAAGCTAGAGAGTTGAATGTTATATCGAAAGATTATCGTATTGAAGATTGAACTTCTTGATAGAGGTTTGGGTTTTATGTCGGAGGATTAGATATCATGCTAAAAAATCAAATGTTATAATAAAGTCATGTTAAAGGATTGGGTGATGTGTCGGAGGGTACAATGACATACAAGAGGTTCAAATAAAAAGGCAGAAGATTAGATGGCATATAAGAAGAGTTGATAACATGTGAAATATTTTGACAAAGTGCTAAAAAAAAAGTTTGCTAATTTGAAGCCTTATTTGAAGATGATTTTGAGTTACAATTGGGCTTTAATTAAGTTAAATTTATCCTATGTTAGATTAAGATCAAAGTGGACTAAATTCGGATTGGATTTGGGTTAAGCCAAATGAGTGTATGGGAGGTGGTACTACAAAGAGGTGTGTGGGTACTACCCAAAGGTAGTAGTATCATCTAGTCTAGGTGGTGATATTGCCCGGGACAACAAATGACCTAACCGATATTGTTTTAGTGTGTCGACGATAGTACCACTAGTACCCTTGATTTGGGATATTTTTTCATGAGTTGTTCCATATTTTGAGGTTCTTTGGATACTAAAATAATTCTTAATCTTTAAAGTGTTGAAATCCTCTCTTGAAGCCTCGTTGGGTTTCACCTTCTTGAATTTTTAGTTGAGTTACTAAGTTTAAAAGGAGAGATTCTTAAGAGTGATTAAGTGTCAAGGTTTTCTCCTAAGCCTTAGAAGAGAGAAGATTGTAAAGGATCATTGATCTTCATCCGTTGGAAGTAAAATCGATAGTAAAAGCCAGTGACTTTGAGAAATGATAAATCAAGAGTGGACGTAAGTCGAGATAACAGAACATGTCTATTTCTTGGTTGAATTAGATTTCAATACTTATCTCTTTTTTTATTTTTATCAAAATTGAATGTTCTAAAAGTTTACAATAACACTCTCTCTTAGTGTCATATCAATCCTAACAAGTCCCACCCTTAATTGTTTGAGCCTTGATAGTAACAAGACTAGAGGATTTGATAAAGGGTCATTTGATGTCATTGGACTCAAGTCCGCAGGGTTCAATCGAGATGATCTAATAAAATTTTCTTGAGGCATCTTGGTCGACTCTCATTTTAGTATCTATCAAGTCAAATTTTGTTTGTCCAAGATGGAAGCTAATTTAGATTCAATCTGATTTTTTTTCTCAAGGTGACCTCAAGTTAAATTTCATTGATCCTATTCTTGTGAAACTATGTCGGGCACTCTCTATAGTAGACTAATCTTATAGGTTTGATGTATTCCAAGTTCAAGATTGTCTCTTGGGATGTAGCTAAGGGACCGGGTTATTGGAGTCATTACCTTCCAACAGCATGCTCGCTTATGGGAATGTATTGCACAACTCTCAAGTATAATTGTCGTTGACCTGCATTAAGTCTAGGATGATGTAGTGCTTGGACACATGGTGAACTTTGGTTGATGGAGAGTGATTGGTTGGTGGGACAAGATGGGTCCATTAACTATTAGTGTGTTGATCATAAGGCACCAAAGTGTTAGCTATATAGCACTGTGGTACTAAAGTATCAATCGGATAGTATCGAGAGGTTGGCCTCTCGTGACAATGAGGTATCAACTAAGTGGTGTTGAGGGGTCGATCACTCAAAGCTAAGGTGACAACCATATGATGCTGAAATATCGATCATATTGCACTAAGGCGTTGATCATATGACACTTATTGATCACAAAATATTAACGTGTGTTCAGATCATATCATACTTATCAATACTTATGCCAAATCCATATACAATCATATATATCTTGCACAAAGATGAACTCCAGCCATTAAGAGATACTTGCTTATTAGTACACATTTTTTAAAAATACGGCCTAAGCTAGAAGGAACATGCCAAGAGCTTTAGATGATATATTGCTTGCGAGACTTGCTGGGTGGAGGCTGAACAGTATGAAGAATTTTGGCATTAGACTAATTTGTTCTTAATTGTTTAACATATTAACTTCACATGATTTTAGCAACGTTTTGGGGACTATATTTCAGATCTATGAGTCTCGCTGGGTGGAGGCTAAACAGTATGAAGAATTTTGGCATTAGACTAATTTGTTCTTAATTGTTTAACATATTAACTTCACTTGATTTTATCAACGCTTTCGGGACTATATTTCAGATCTATGATATGGCTTGTTGTAGATGCTTAGGTACTTGAATTCATTTGCTGTAGTACTACCATGCACTTGAGACTAAGCAATCAAGCTTGTGCAATCATGGCAGTTGGGACCATCGATTATGGATGGGTATATGCCACTTGGATTCTGGGGAATGCCACTGATTTAGTAATAAATATAATGTAATATGTTCATTAAATAAATTACACGATGCAAAAATCATGCATTTCATAATGTCAATATAATATCTGAGACAAAGGCTGGTGATGTACATTTTTCAGAATCTAATATGTTTACTTGTCAAAACCTTGACCAAGCAGATACACAATAAACATAATGGACAACCATAAAAAGGAACTGGATAAACTTTGAATTTCAGAAAAACTGAAGTGAATATATTAGTGATACTCACAACCTTAAAAGTCGTCTCAAAATAATTTATATCGAAGGTTTGAAAGCTCAAACTCCAGTCTGGAAGCAAAGTTCTGGTTCAGGCTGCCTATACAAAACAGTTTGACCATGCACCTGAACTCACTCATCAAGGAATCACGTTTATGCTACAAGTAGTTATTTGAAGAGGATATGACATATTTAAACTAGTGAAAACTACTATCCTGGTCATCTCTTCTGGGGTCATGAACTAAAACCTCAGCTATTCACTGGTGAAATCTGGCACCACCTTTGATCAGAGGGTTCGGGAAAAGCTGATGCCAATTCATCATCAGACTGAACAATTTGCTACAGGAAACCTGATGACTTCAGAGCTTCACAAATCATTCCCGACTGTGGTTGGCATGCCAAAGCTTCTTCTGACAAACCAAGAGTTTCTCCTTTGACACGATGTATTCTGTGCCTTGTTTCTCACAATCCCATCTCATTCCTTTGGCTATGGTTGCTATAGCATCGATGAAATAGTATGATTCACGGATTATCGCATACCCATTTGGACGTAGGATACGGTCCATCTCAAGGAGCACATATTTCATTTCACATCTGCCAAATTGACAGCAAAAATCCATGCCATGTTATTGTGTTTGAAGTATTCTATTTAGCAATATCTCTGGGTTCACTTAAGAATAAATGTACAGCAGCACATGATACTTGTTTTACAACTGCACCTAAGGCAACAGACAGCACAGATAGCAACCATAATGGGAAACAGGCAGAAAGAACAGTGCAATTTAACTGTTCAATCATATATAGGCCTTCTCAGATAATATAAATATAAAAATAATTGACTTCCATTTCCACATATTTCAAAAACCAGAAAAATCCAAATGTAAAACATAATGTATTTTAATGTAGAGACTAAACATTCAAGAACAATTTGTCATTATTAGATTAGCTTTCATCAGACTGTGGCGGGATTTGTATTAAATAAAGCCACATTTTGAAGTCTAACTTCATCAAGATTTCTTAATGTCAGGAGAAAGGCCAATTCTCTTAAATCAACAGATTCTCAATTCAAGATGATGATCCACTAAGTTGTGAATTATTCTCCATTATGACTATAGTCAAATAAAGTTTTTGCCAAGTTATGTCTCCTTTTTGTTTTGCAGGGGAGCTATATATCATCTTTAAAACACTGATATAAAGGTTTTGTAAGAAAATCATTCAGTTTTTGAAGCTTAAAGTGAGATAAACAATGGGTATTAAAAATTTCACCTGTGACTTTCAGCAGTAAATAGGCCATCCAGATGCAACAGGTCATACGTACGAGGATAAGTTGAGAATGGCTCACACCTAAAATGAGTTGGAACAGAGAGAAATTATGTTTTCAAAATGCACATTATTCAATAATAAAGATTCTATTGTAGTGATACTCATGGAACCTTTCATATATAAAGATAAACTTTATAAGAATCTGAGGTGAGTCCAACCTATGTCAAATGCACATCCAAGATGAAAAATTCAAATTACTTACATCTGGCAGTGTTATATGTGGTTTCTTTGTAACATAGGGCACATTTGGACATAGTTGTTGCAAGTAATTGCAAAAAGAAATTTGTCACTTCAACCATGAAAGAGCTACATAAGAGTCAGTCCTTGAAACATATTTAAACATATGCATTTTAGGCAGCAAAAAGCACAATCAGTGATAGATTTTGCATTGACACACAGAAAGATATAAGCATAATGCAATGGGTAACTCCACTAGCTATGCATGGCATCATCCTAAATGCCTGAAGTGGTCAGTAAGTTAGCTTCGGCCAACCTTAGAGCAAAGCCACATCCTCATCCACCATTAGTTAAGGCCGATGACCAACGAGGGGAGCTGACTTTGTCTCATGTCGTGGCCCTTCTTGTCAGGGTCTGTACACACTTCTATTAAATTATCCCACTCAAGCAGGATATCACCTTCAGCAAGTACCTTTTTGACATCTGCAAGCTCCCAATGGGAAAAGTCTGCATCGGCAATGATCTAAAATGCAGTCTGAGCTTCTGAAGCTAGCATTCGGCTCCATGGTTGACCACTAACTTCCTACCAATGAGCAGTCCCTAACAATCAATAACAGGAAATTCCCCTGAAGGACATCAACATTCCCACGTACTCTCATATACTACACATCCTGGCACATTCTTTTGTACCTCTCAAATCTATAGGCCACATTTAGGCATTGGAGGGTTCCTATCAAAGATAACTATGATAATCCTTATGTGTCTCCTTTCTCTTTTGCAGGCTCAGCACATGGATTCAGCATTCCGTCAAGTCTTCAAGCTAGTTCATCCCTCAGTTGAGAGAATCCAGAATAAGCTTGTGACTGCCAAATCAGACCAAAAAATCTCCCAGTTCTTCGTAGCAACAAATAACTTTTTTTATTAAAGTAGAATATATTGACTTTAAGAAACGTTAAGTGGGAGTGTAATGCATATAAGTATGTTTCTCTGAAAAGATAGCCAAAAGAGATCCTACAGTTTCAGGACACATTTGAGAGCAGATGAAAAACCGAAACAAAAGAAAAGAGTTCAAACATCAACAAAAAATTAAATGGAAGTTGTTATTTCCAAGAAAGTTACGTACGGCAAAAGCTCTATCACAAAACAAATTTGTCATAGTCCATTTGAATGCAAGAACTCATGCATGTAATGATAGTTTCTAGCATAGAAGATAAGGAAATTGCTAATCTCTAGTATCAAATAAGATAAGGAACAAGTTCTCTTCCAATTTATTCCACTATTACTACATGCTTTCTGACACTGAAAATTTCAAAACCTAGACACTTCATATTCTTGCGACAAATTGAACAAAATTGATGCAGCAAAATTCCACTTTGAGAATGCAATTGCCTAGATGGAAGCTAGAAGAAGGTGGGCAAGAACAAAAGTGGTCTTTAAAGTCCAAAAAAATGTAGAAATTCAGAATAATAGTTTATTGATTTCAAAAGCCAGTATGTCTATAATTTCAGCAAAAATTCACTTAACAAAGAACACACCAAGTATATCAATAATCACATACCAATTCTATATGCTCAAGCAAATGAAGCAACCCTTTCATATTAGATTATAAAAGGAATTGAATTGCACGTATATCAAACAACAGTAGATATAAACTAGAGAATTACCAGTCATGATAGGTGCCAATTAGTCCCCTATCATAGACCACCCCAAGTGAATTTGGACCATAAGAGGAGACAACATTCATGACCCATAATGGAGAATCAATAAGAGATGTTGCAAACCCTCCGTACAATGTATTCATATCCATAACATTTCGGATTTCATCACTTCCAAGAGCAGGAAGTAATGCTTTGTAGTGTTTCACCCTCACCTTCCATCTACTGTTATCATGCTTGAAACCACCAGAGTTTCCATTGAAAATCATAGAAATACGCTCTGGGCGTACATGCAACCGATTTGGCCATTTTGGTACAGAGTTCAGTCCCAATTTCTTAAACTTTTGGCTTGGAATACTCAGACAAGGTTGCAGTGGAGTATACCATGCTGAATCTGGATCTGAGCTATAATCACATTTAGGTGGGTAAGATGATGAAGTGAGTCTATCGTAGCAGCTACTATCTAGAGACTTCTGCCACACAGCAATGTCATCCATTTTATCGTAGAGTTTGAAGCACATGCTAATTAGCAACTTCTTCAATTTATCATAGTCTGACTTCTGTTCCTCCACTGTTGTGTTCCACCCACGCCATCTGTGTTCGTAGTTTATAGGTGGTCCTGAGAGCACCCAGAAGCCCCCAGGTCTAAGTATTCGGTGTACTTCCAGTAGGTAAATACCATCTGGGGAAGATAAAAGATAAAACAGTGAATTCAATAGAACATAATAAGTGAAAGACACTACTCGTTAATCTCTGAGGTCGAATGAGCACAAACTTCCATTGTTAAAAATTTTTCCAAAGCAATGGAAGAACTAATTAAGTGTACCAAAAGGAATTTTACATCCCTCTGTCATAACAAGAAAATATTCAAAGAAAATAAGTAGCCAAAAGATTCCCGCATGAGAAGCTTTCAATCTGAATCCAGGACATCGGGCAGGCACTGAGATGGCAAATGACCACAGACCACAAAAAATAAGCATTACTTAGAATCTTTAGACTTGGTGCAAGTTGTATCATGCAACTTCAGATAAATATAGGGCAAGTTAAGAAAATATCATAAGCATATCCCCTGAGGAACAGCCTACATCTCCAATTTAGACCCTTCACTCTTGAATAGCTTGTTCAATACTCTGTGCAGAAGTCCCAAGAGAGGTGAGCACAACGTTATCCAAAGTTTAGAAGACCACTGGTATCAGTAGGTACAGGTTGGCATTTACCAATTTAACAATTAACCAGGATGGTAGGACCAAATGATTTCACCTGATCCGACCCGATATGGGTTGCACCACCCAATACTTTCTTCATACCAAGGTTACCGGGTGGTAAGGAAACCAGTACCAAGCCGCACCAGGAGATAAGCTTACTGCTCATACTGATATCCTTTTTTTTATTTTTGACAATTGTGACAACTGTCCTTTTTCTCTTTTGTTTTCTCTTGGTTTCTCTCAAACTCTCTTCTCTTTTCCCTCTCTCCTTTACTCACCTCCACTATCTCCTATCCTTTGCCTCTACTTCTCCTCTACCTTCTACTCCTAATAGAGGTTGTGCCTCCTCTTCTTACGTCTCTGCCTCAGCCTCTTCTCCTTTTCCTCTGATCTTCTTTCCCTCTTTCTCTTTGGTATGGATGGTAACATCCCATACCAAGGGTCAATATGCCAATCTATACTGGTACAATATGAGTCCAACTATTAACAATGTTATTGTGGGACCAAAATCTAAAACTTGACTTTATCAACTTGGTCCTATAGCCGAAAGGCTCATATATGTAAAAAAAGAGTTAATTCATATATATAAATGATAATCAACAAAAAGTCTAACTATATATGAAAATGAAGCAAATGAACTAAAACATCATACAGATGCATTAACATTGAGAGAAGAAACACAATTACCATTTTTACACATTCCTACACATCTTATGACTCATTCTTTATAGAATTTTAAAGGGTCTGGTTTACCAAGTAAGAACCAGCATCATAATCATTTTGCAGTTGTGGGAAGAGAAAATTTACCATATTCTGTCCATGGTATAAGACATCTGGAGCAGTGAGCCATATCAAATGAATTGGAAGGGAATGGAAGACGCTGAGTTGAAATGATGCCTAAGATTGCTGGAATGCCACGTTCAAGCGCAAACTGTACTTGAGCCTCATGATTATCTCTAGGTGCAAGAGAAACAGTTAAAATGCCATGATCTAATAAATCACCTCCCCAGCTTGCAACCTATTAGGATAAGCAAACAGCAAAGCTTAACATCTCTGCCACATAAAAGCATATATGTGGAAATATGCAGAATAGTCTCCTGTAAAAACAAATGCACTTGATACTTCATGAGGCATTGCCACAAAAACTTCAAAGGATGAAATTAGCAGTCTTAGCTTGTACAACGAAGGCTACAAAGCAGAGACAGAAACAAAAATAAATACATGACAACCAAGGATTATCATCAAATAATGATCTATTACAGGCACAAAAAAAAAACAGAAAGAGAACATAGTTTGATTGTTTCCTAAAGCCTCACATAAAACTTTTGATTGCTAAAAATGCAAGAATACTCGAAAGCAGAGAATATGCTGCAATCTAAGAAACAGAGAATTTCAAAATGACTTGGATCAGAAGTTGGTCTGTACTCACACCACATCCAGTATCAATGGCAGTTCGGATAGTTCCGTTCTTCATTCCAGGAATCAGCTTTTGCATCAATTTAACATATGAATTAACTCCATTAGGAAACATGGTACCTCCACCTGGAAAGAAGAATTTGTCACCTTCTTTTCTGAGCCAGTGTTGAGTTGATTTCTTATTGCTTATCCAGTCATAGGGAACATTCCTGACAGACAAAAAAAAGACAGTTTATCTCTGATAGCATAACATATAAGTATTCAAAATCATTCCTGGAAGGTGAATGTATACAGTGTCACGAAATGGGAAAAGAGGAGATGTAAAGATAGAAACACACCTGTACCAACATTGATCTTTGCTTTTTGGCCATCTAATTGGTGGCTTATATCCATCAGGAGGAGGAATCAAGCATTCATTTCTGACAGTGATTTGTGGACAATGGCGTTCCATAAAACTAAGTCTGTAATTTCCATACTTCTTCCATCTCTGAAAGAAAGAAAAGAAACTTTTGATATAGTGCCTCCAGTAAGAATGGTTCACGAAAATTACTCTTTCTTGGTGGATAACAGAAAATAATGAGAAACTAAGAATTGAAGAGTATCATTTCAACAGAACACTGTCAAAGATTTTGTCATTCTTTTCTTTCCAATAGAAAATAATTTCCTTTAAATAATTTTTCCTTTATTTCCATACCAGATATGATTCTATCTTTTTTCTGGAACGCTTGACTTTTTCTCTAAGTTGGGGCCTTAAGTCTCATCTATGGAAATGGGATAAGACAAAAACAAGAAAGAGTACAAGAAATATGCAGCAAGTTTGTAAGCAAGAAGAGAAAAGAAGTGATAAAAGGGTTGGAAAAGAAAGAGCAATATACGATATGTTACGGATGAAACTCAAAAGATATTTATTAATGATAAGGAGATTAAGGAAAGATGAAGAAATTATATATATACATTATTTAGTAAACATTCTATAACATAATTAGCTATAAAGACAGATTATAGTGGTAGGTGATTTATTCATAAAATTAGAACAAGCAAGGTAAAAAAAGGTTTATAAAAGATGAAATAGTTAAGAATGTGAAACCTGATAGTATTCCTATTGAGATTTGTAAAAGTTTGGGGAATTAAAGAATAGTTTTGTTGACTAATTTATTTAACAAAATTTTGAGATTTAGAAAGATGTCAAATGGAGGAAGAGCTTTTTTATATTAATTTATAAAAACAAGGGAGGTAACCGAAACTGTTCTAAATTATAGAGGCATTAAAATTATGAGTCACATTATAGAACTGTGAAAGAGTAATTGAATGTAGAATATGATGTAAAACAAATATTTGATAGATCAATTTGGTTTTATGTTTTGAAGATCAACAATAGAGACTATTTATTTATTAAGATAATTAATCAAAAAATATAAAGAGGATAAGAAAGATTTTCATATGTTTTCTATCAATTTAAAAATAGTTAATCATTTTCCTAAAGATTCTTTATTGTGGTGGATCTTAAAGAAGAAAGTTGCATTCACTAATTATAATGATGTTATCAAAGATATGTATAATAATATAATCACTAGTATAAGAACCATAAGAATGTCCAGGTGAGTTTCCTATTAGTATGAGATTACATCGATTAGTTCTAAGTCCTTACCTTTTTATATTGGCAGTGTTTGAACTTACGAATCATATGAAGGATAGACCTCTATTGTGTATCTTATTTGCAAAAGATACATTTTAATTAATTATAGTTTAAATAAAATAAATTTTAAACTTGAGTTATAGAGACAAAACTTGAAAAACTTAGAATTTTCAATTTTATAGATCTGAAATTAAATACCACATTCCTAGAAATTTTCCAAAAATTAAATTTCTCTAGACATTAAAAAGTGTCTTTAGTTAGACCAAAATAGAAAAAAATTAAGAATAATTTTTTATACTTTATGTGTCATGTTTCATTTTATATTTAAGTACTACAGAATGAGATCTCTTAATCAGAGTTTTCTTGGCACCCAAGGTGTAACTAGTAGTGAGTACTTGCATTCATCAGAAGCCTTGAACATTAAATAAAAGCCTTCCTGTAGGGTAAATTTGATGCAGTCATACACAAACAAATGTATGTGCATCATAAGTATTCTTAAATGTTAGATGTGTGATCTCATAAAGACAAGAAAATAACTCTCCACATCAGATAGTTAGGAAGTAAGGAACAATATATCTACGAGGAATGCCATTGGACAGAAAAATTATTCCATAAGGAAAACTATAGCAAGGCAAAGATCAATCCATAAGACAATTAAGGAGGAATTTTTAATTAAATAGGAGTGAAGCACCCAAATGCAAGACTGAAGAGCAGCGAATACTTGAATACATAGGAAAAGGGACCAAGGACACTTGGAACAAAGGAGCACTTATCATGTTAGGCTAATTGGCAAAAGTTCTCACAATTCTTTTTTCCACAGCAACAAAGAAACTATGTTACTTCAAAATATGAGTAAAACTATTGCCTCTAGCATCAGAGGCAATCAAAACAGAAAGATTATGGGGAAAGCTCCCCATCCATGCAAAATTTGTTCTTTTCAACCACCCAAAATTTGCCAACCAATTGCCAGTGCAATTTCCTTTCCAAAAAACATATTCGACTTTAGCCTCCTCAAAAGCCGCCAAGAGATCTCACATGTCACTAAATGTAGAAGATAATAGACATAAACAGAGCTGAACTAAAGATAAGATGGTAAACAAAACTTCAGTTGGCTACATATCATCTATATATATCTAGCGAGATTATAAATGCCAATCAGATATTAGTTTTGACAATCATCAAAATCAGTATGATACCAAAATTCCAAGCAATATACCAACTTGTACTATCCAGTATCACTAAAATCAATGACAAAAAATTGTATACTAAGTGGTACCAATCTTATAACTCCATCATTGATGCTTGGTCATATATACGCCATTTCTACCAGTAATTTGAACCAAGGTATCAATATTGTACCGTATCGATGTTTCGAGGTTGGCTCGGTATGGTATGGTACGGTACCGGTGTACCGAGCGGTATACCCTGACGTACCGAACAATTTTATATATTTTTCTTCATTACTGTAGTACTGTAGCACTCCTACAGTGTAGTACTGTAGCATTGTAGCGGTACAGGACGGTCGCATACCGGTATGTCATCGGACCGGTATGTATCACCCGTACTGGATGGTACCATTCGGTACTACATACCATGATTTGAACTATTATTGCTATTAACAGCTTATTAATTTTATGATAAATTGATCTAGTAATAAGAATCTACAGTACCTTCGGATCTGTGCATGGTGTGTAATCCTGATAGTTCAAACTACACTCTGAGAATTCAACATACTCAATTTTAAGGGGATCTACTGTAGTTTCCTGTTGAGATTGGACGATTGGAGCTTCATCCTGCTTAAAGTATCGATTCTTCTCAGAACAAAAAATGCCCCCAAGATAGAAGGAAAATCCACATAGGATTATGAATCCTAAAGTAAAGGGGACAATCCTAGGATTTATGTCAAGATAAGCTCCTGGCCTGAAATCTCTGTTCTTCATTTTACTTTTTAGACGAAATACCTGCTGAAAAAAAAGCAAAATAGCAAAGCAATTTAGAGTGATGTACTAAGAAAGGATGATTTTATAAACCAATTGTGCAACATAAAACAAATTATTAAAATAGAAAATAACCATATCAATGTATGACATAATCAAATTTGGAAATAGAAATGTACTCAGTAATTTTTAATAATTACTAGAATGCAAAAAAAAATTCAAAAAACACTACCTAAGCAAGAAGAAAACTTAAAAACTGTTCAAAACTGGATACATGAAATGGATACAATATTTTAAAGTTTACAAATAAACTTTATTTTCTAAAAGGGTTGCCACAATTGTATTTTTTTATTGCTCAACATTTTTCAGCAAATCATGTATAAAGTTGTAAACTTGAATTATCTGATCTCATGTAATTGAGCTCTTCTCTACAATCAAGAACCATTTGTAATCATAATATTTCTGACATGTAATGTGCATCTATGCATAAATATATTTGCATGGTGAAATCAACAATCATCCACAATTCATCGGAACATTTCTTTATATGAACATTTTAGTCTTCTCTTGGTCTAATTAACAACCTTTCTTCACATTTTCCTACTCCCTAAAGTTAAACTTAGGCAGTCTCCAAAATCAACTAAACTAGACTATGCTTGATGAGTTGGGATTCTACAATGTCTTGTGCAGCATATCTATGGCTATTCTTAAAGTAGTATCAGTGCTTGCTTTAGTAGTTTGGGAGTATAAATGAAGTCCCATAATCATCTTCTTCCCTACAATATCTTCCATCATCTGATCATTTGGATTTTTCTTATTGATATCTCATCAATACCTAGCAAACCCATTACTTTGAACAAACATTTTGCTGATCAGAAGTCTTGAGAAGGGAACTATAATACTTCCCAAAAGAAATCTTCAAGAAATCTCAAAGTTCGCTAAAGATCGGTTTGCTACAAGATATGATTCTTAGAGGCAAAAATATTCCAGGTTTAGAAATTTTAAGAGATTAAACTTAACTGCACAAATTATTTTACGAGGCACCAGAACTTGTGATAATAAACAGAAACACTTGCGTCACCATCAGCAGAAGATCAAACTTCAACAAGGACAACTAAAACAATAGCAGAACAACCAACATGAACTTCGTTTGATTCTACATAAGCATGTAAGGCCTAACTCATTAAGATCTGATACTTTCCACGATTAACTTCACACTTCACCAAACCTCACCATCTTAAAGTTCAACGGTAAAACACCATTCCTGTGAATCAAAACAATTAAGTTCTGGAGATATTTCTTATCACTAGGTAAAAAATTTAGGAGACCAGTAAGAACAGTGGCAACTGAAAATATCCACATTAAGCAGTTGCTATTTTCAGGTTCTCCTCGTACGGATACGGGAATCATCAAATAAAATTGAACCCATCACACATTTTCGCCACGCAAATTCTTGAAATTTAAGAATTGAACAGCAGAAGATACTTGACCCTTGGTTAAATCCCCAAAGTCGAGGTAAAGATCCAGGACGCCACAAAGTCAGAACAGAATCACTTGGATCGTAGACGCGTAGGAAAAGAAACTCGATACATAAGATTTCACAGGATTCAAATAAGGGCAAATCTTGGCGCAGCGTCGATCTGCCAATAATTCTTAATTTAGTGATTTGATTCTGCGAATCCAACAAGAGAGGTTTCTGTTAAGTGCAGCAGTACAACGAAGAAACATTAAGTAACACGGAACCAAACAAAATAGAGAACAGAAAAATAAAGTTCAACGAACCGCTTCAAAACAAAGAGAACAACTAAAGATTAAAAGAAAAGAGACGGCAACAGCAAAACCCAATCCAACCCCCCCGCAGGCTGATCACATTTTAATCAGCAGCTAATAACGCAGTTAATGTTGCGTACCTCAAGGAGGAGTGTGCCTTCCTTTTCAAGTTTCGCTGCCCAGCTCAGCGTCTATGCGTTTGGATCGACGAAGAGGATGAGAACTTGAAAGAGATGAGACAGCGGCCCTCCCTGTGGTGATGATTTTAGTTGTCACAGATCTATCTCTTAAACTTCCTACGATCCAAAACAAACTAACAACCCAGCAAGAGTTCGAAAGGTAGCAGCATCCTCCGCCTCTTCGGCCACCTTTTGGGGAACAAAAGGCCGGCTTTTACCTGTCCTCGGCTGGAAGTGAAGAGAGGGGAAAATGCACCGGCGAATCGGACGGTAGGGGACGATCACAGCTGGCCCAGGTAAAGACGACGCCATTTGACGAATAAAGGTGGAGTCCACACCTCTTATGAGCTTGGAGAGGGTTTGCAAGATTTCGGCGTAGTGTAGCTAATAATAAACAAAAAAGGTGAAAGTGTTTGCACGTGCCTTCCAGCCGCATAAACCAAACCAGATTCGACGGTTCACCGATTTGGTTCGGTTAGTAGCTTAGACCAAACCATGAAAACCCCGTGGTTACTTTTGGCATCAAAGGAAATGATGACTGTGTGTAAAATTGCACGAATCTTCAAGAATGGACACACGTTGCACGTGTTTGGGCAAAAGTTTTGCTCGGGTTCTATACATAATGATCACCCAAATAAGAGACGGGGCCAAAATGTGGTGCTGACGATGAAGATGACAACACTCATATTGTTGCTAATATGTCATGAATGATATAGGTCAGCTCAAAGTATGGGTACACACGCCAACTACAATTTGCTAATCTCAAAATGTCATCACGAACATATATGACTGGTTTGATCACGAGTATACGAGTGGAACAACAGTTGCAACCCGATCATCGTATAAATACACAAGATCTGATCCTAATTTGGTTTAAATTGGTCAAGACTAGAATCGGGATCAGCCAATTATTTCACAGTTTCGATTATAGAATCGACTAATTATTTTACGGTTTCGAATCGATTTCGACACTAAATTGTATTTAAAAAAAAAAAAGCGGTCAAATGATCATTGGCTATTGCAATGATGATCAAAAGACCATTTTACCCCTTTTAATAGTTAATAATAAATAATATTTTAAAAATATAAAAATTATAAAAAATTAAATTTAAATTTATGAAAAGATAATCTTTATCCCTTCACACAACTAAATAACTATGGGTTAAGGGTATTTTTTAAAAATGATAAAAATCTATAAATATCTCTTTATCAAATTTTATATTTCTCTCCTATCTTCTCAATTTCTATATTGCTCCTAAATCTTATCAATCTTCTCAAATAAACTATATTGCTCTACATTCGAGTCAAACTTTAATTCAGCCTAATTGGTGTTCTAAATTACTAATCAGGTTAAACAGAAATTAACCTGAAATCTTAAGCTCAAAGGCTAGATTCATGTCAGCTTCAAATCCTAGATACATTAAGACTATCTAAGTCATAATTACATTAAGACTCTTTAAATCCTAACCTATTTAGGATTTGGACTCCACCTCCAACTTTCTAGTCAATCTAGGGTAGCTTATAAGTTAAGAGTAGCAATAGAAAAACAAGATGAGAAGAGGAAGAAACCTCGATAGCCCTTCTCTCACAATAATTGAGATCAGTAAGTAAGGAGTCATTTTCTTTCAACTTAAGATAGAATTCTTCAAAAGAGAATCAGCATCAAACGGTAGCGCTTCATCTTTGTCCTCGACATCCAAAGACATGACAATAATCTCAACAAATAATAGCTCTTCCACAACCATATCAAAGGTGTTATCAAATTGGTAAAATGAGAAAATAAAAATGGAACTAATAGTAAGTATTCTATCACGATCTATCCATACTTGTCACAGGAGAACTTTTGAGTGATCATTGCTCAAGAACTCTTTACTTTAATTTCTATTTTAGCCACTTTAAATTTACAATAAGAGTAGATTAATTTTTTCTAAATTATGTTTATTATAGTAAAAGTGTAAATCCTCTATCAAAACTTCTATTCATAAGGTAGTGTTAAGTCAACGATTTATCGAACCTAAACCTCATACAGATCAAGTGGTATCACAATAGTGACCCCTCACCTATGGATGGTTGCCACTAGACAAGAATATAAAGCTTCTAAGAAAGAGTTACAGGAGTTGGAGATTAAGTCGCACTCACCTAAAGGAAGAACCATCAAAAGGATCATGGCCAACACTTTAATAGCCTTGGTAGACCTTATTGCCCAAATGATAGTATTAGCTTAGTAGATGAAGATTATAATAAACTAGATACAAGCCCAAACCAACCCTAGAGTAAAAGATGATCAAGTGAAGAATGAATAGCAAAGAAGAGAGAGTCATCTCTATTCAAGACAACCAATCGCGAAGACGATATTGCCAACCAGAATATCGTAGCATAAACTTTACCATTGCAAGTTGAGATTTATATCAATATACCCTCCTATGATGGCTTGATCAACGCTTAGTTATTAGACTTAGAACCTCTCTAAATGATCACTCGACAGTAATAAATATATTATTGGCCTATATGAACATATTTATACAAAGTTGGGCCTTTTTAGAATATATAATACCTCGATTGTTAGCAACATAGTGATCATCTATATAAAGAATCACTCACAATAAAAAAATCTATAGAAAAGGCCAAAGGAAGCCACTTGAAGGCTTACAAGAATTTTAGGAATAGTAAAACTTTTTCATTATCAAACGAAGTAATCTATTACGTGAAAATTATAAAATTATAAGCCACTTTCGAGAAAAATGTTGGAAGGTTCATTTAGAACTCTTCCTAAATTGGTTGAAGAAAGTCAGCGAACCACGATCACAACTATGGGTGATGACTCCATCAAACTTTCATTAGTATTACATTTAGATCAAAGTCTATTGCTAATGGTTAGATCAAAGGCTATAGACCTAAATCTAACTCCTAGTTCAAAAGTTCAAGAAGAGCTTTTCATTATAAGATCTACGTGAAGCAAAAATTTGTTGGCATGATCTTTGACACCAAGTGCTAAAAAAATTGCATCTCGGTGAGCTTGGTCAAGAGCTTAGCCTAAAGACAATACTGTATTTTTAACCATATCCTCTTGGATAGCTTCATAATGATGTGGAGATGAAAATCGACTAGCAATGCAAGTTACAATTTGCCATCATAAAGGAATTCATTGATGATGTGATAAGTAAGGTGGTTCCACTTGATATATGCTAAGCCATCCTTTGAGCCAAACTCCAATTCAACCTAATTAGAGTTCAAGTTAGACTCCAATTCAATTATAATCAAACCAAATTAAGATCAAGCTAAAATCTTATACTCAAAGACCATATTCAAGTCAACCCCAAGCCTTAAAGGTATTAGGAGTCTTCAAGTTATAAATGCATTAGGACTCTTTAAGCCCTAACCTAGCTAGGACTCCACCCATACCTCAACTATAAAATAGGGAGGAGAGACTCATCTAAAGCATCCCCAAAGCAATCTAAGTTGTTCATCAGGGATGATCTTAATAGCACATAGCAAAATTGGCTAACTTCTATTGAATGACCTCTTGAAGTTTTAAAATATTATTTGGATACGCAAAGCTCATATCATAGTAGTCCACTCGCCTCAATCCAAGTCTTAATAAATTTAAATTATGATAACTCTCACTTAAATAGAGGCAACCACCAAGCAAGAGGTTTGTAACAACACTATAAAGAAAGTACTAACTATAAAGTCCTTAAACCCTAAGGACTTTGAGCACTCCTCACCCTATAAAACAAGGGGGTGTACCCCTATCTAAAGGAAATCAAAGAAGTAACTAACAAGAGTCTCATTGACCCTTGTTATTCTAGCCTTAGAAAAGAGAATAGAAGAGAGGAAAATAGAGAAAATAGGAATTATACGAAGTGTATCCAATCCTTCTAACCAGAGCCTTCTTCCTCGAGTTTCAATAGTTGAAGCTTTGTATCAAATTTCATCCAACTATTACAAGAAGCCCCTATAGCTTGCTACTTGCTATCCAAACCTCAAGATGAGGCTCCAGTAGTGAGAAAGAAAGAGACCACAATTGATAGATTACAACTAACATATCAATAGAAGTATCAATAATATGAATATACTATCCTTAGTGATATGATTTGTGATGTATATTCTTCATAAATATGATAAATGATAAACTTATATTTTTGGCTTTTAAAATTAAAGTACATACTTTTCAAAAATATTATTCTCAATATTTTATGAAATATTAGTTGAGCATGTACAAGAGTCAATGTTTATTTTAGCGAAAAAGATATGATCATTAAGCCACTTAGGCATGGATAGAGTAATAAAAAATTAAATAAAATATAAATCAAGAGAGAAGTGTTATACTAAAACTATTAAAATACATAAGTGAGATTGAAAGATAAGTTTAGACTAAAAATATTATCTTTATCAAATCAAATTATGTTAGGATATTAATGACACTAAGAGGGGAGAGGGGTAGGGGATTTTGACTCGATACTATAGCAAATTTTAACTGACTTTAAAATTTGATCAAAAAATCTATATTAGAAATATGATTAACCAAATATTAAGTGCAAGTAAGGGTTGTGAGTAAAGTGGAAAATAATAAATAAGCAATCACAAATAAAAGTCACTAGTAATAAAAGGAATATAAATCAATTTATAATGGTTTGGTCTTTCCGACTTACGTCCACTCACAGATCCTCTTTCCTCAAAGTCATCAAATTTTACTATCGATCTTCTTTCTAATAGGCAAAGATCAACTACTCATAGTACAACTTTTCTCCTCTTTATAAGCCTAGGACAAAACCTCTATACTTACACTTTTATAAGAAATCTCTCACATCCTATAATTTAATATCATAACTAAACTTAAGAGGAAGGAAGAGACTCAAATAGTACTAAGAGCTATAATATTTTACAAATTCAATGTTCCATCAACCAAGCCTAAGTAGGACATTTATAGGCCCTAAAATATTTTAAGAATGGAGCTAAAAAATTTAACTCTTCGAAAATTTTAGGATATGGGCAGTACTACCATCGTAACTTTTGATATCGTAATTTTAAACTCTACGGTACTATCACCATAAAATTTAAATTTTTGATGATACTATTATCACCCTAGGTGGTACTTTTATTACCATGGGCGGTACCATCATCAGAATGCCTGACATACAAAAATAGTACTTGTCGGTTGACTCAAGTGGTACTATCGCTTAGGCCTAGTGGTACTACCGCTTAGGCCTAGTGGTACCACCACCTAGGCCTTCTTTTGACTACAAGTTTAACCTTCTAATATATCTAATTCGGCCTATCTTCAAGCCTAATAACTTTCTTGATAAATTGAC